GATCGTCCATTGCATTTCCAATACTTCTTAAAAACTTAAGTCGCTCGGTGTGTCAATGAGCATAGACAACTGCATTTATCTCAGAGTGCAGGCAGTTTTTCTCTGCAGTGGAATAAGCCCCTCAATGCTCTGGCAGCTCTAATAACACAGAGAAAACATCTACAATAGGTGTAAAGGTTTCAGATTAATATGAATGCTTCTGTATGATAAAATATATACACAGCATAGCCATGGCATCTTTTAAGTACTATTCTAGTATATGATTTGCATGTGATCAAGATGGCAGCCATTTTGTAGTAAGATTTTACAGATTTAGAAATAAAATAACTGGACAAATGTATGATTGTTAGGAAAACAAAAATGCTAAAATAAAATAACTGGACAGGAAAGTCTAAGCAGACGCTAAAGCTCACACAATTATACAGAGGGAGTAAAGAAAAGCACCATGACCTCAGCCAACTTCTGCAACAGGTAGGCCAAGTCCACCTCTCCGTCATTACATATGGTGCTGGAAGTCTTTTGACAGCTGTCAATACACAAGGAACTAGGGACAAGTCTCAATCCTGAAGCACAAAGCTTGTTTGTGCTTCAAGGAAACCTACACTCGGAGAAATACGGAGGCTGACCTCCTGAAAATGGTATCCAGATAAAGAAAGGAGGTCCATGTAGTTGTATGACAAACACCGGAAGGCTTTATTATAAACTTGGATGCTTCACATACAGGGATGTCACATGCTGCCTTAAAATGGCCCTGTCAGGTCTCTAAAGAATGGAAAAGGGCAGCTTCCTACAAGAGACTTGCCTCTCCAATGGCCCATGTCTACAACTTTCTGTCCATTTCAGCAATGCAGGCTTGGTCACTAGGCACAAGCTTCTGACACTCCTGGAAATGTGGACTGCTGAAGACACTGATGGAGGCTGTAACATTGGAACGTAGGTAGATAGGAGACATGACCACCAGTGAGGTGAGTATATTACGCCTGCTATTGCAGAGAACTAACTTTTTTAATTCTTTAGAGAGCAGACATGGTTTAAAGCATTACGATGTGTGAAATGCAGATGTAAGCCATCAGACTTCATACAAACCTCTCGATGCACAGCATGCAACTACACGTCCCTTCCTTCTTTATCTGGATTGTATACTGGAGCCATGCAAGGCTTTGGAACTTTGGTGCCAATGCCACAGAGTGGACACCCAGCCAGACTTCTCCAGCGGCAGCAATATTTTAGTTTGCACTTTCCTGAAAATGCTTGGCTGACCTGGAACAAGTCACAGTCAGGCACTCCTCATGTGCAAATTTGTTCCAAATAAGCAATTTAGAATATACTAAAGCCCCTTTATAAGGCCAGATAACTACAAACTCCAGGAGAGGTCAGCAAAGGCAGCCAGCATACTTGCTCACTGCAGTTTTCCTTTCAAAAGCCCCTAAAATAAGATGCAGATGCGCCTAAAATGTCTCCCGGCGCCATCAACAAAGAACGCACACTATAATAAAAAAAACATGCACATCACATTGCCTTTTATCGCTTAGCTGTTAGGGTCCCTGAGTCCACACAGATTTGCTCTTAGTCACATATGCTTCCAAACAGGGGCCCGGACGGCCCCACAAACGTCAATCGGTTACAAAATACAATGGAGCAAAACAATAAAATCGGATAGCTGTGAGGTGTCTCTGCGTCCAAACAGAACGGATGACACCGACCATGCACGTTCCCAGTTGTAAAAACACTGTCACCAGATACTCACACATGCGTCAATAGTGTTCGAAGATATTTACATGTTGGTAACATTATTATAGTAAGCACCTTGTTTTTAGGGTTTATGTACAAGTTGGATTACAAAGTGGTGGGTTACAGGTGGTGGTGACAAGGTAAATGCTTTTTCAGTCATTTTTGTCCCATAACCCGTCTCTTAGCCGCAATCTGGAAACGTTAACAGTGAAGACAAAGCTTTACAGAGAGACGTTATTTTAATTCTGGAGGGTGATGAGGGCTACTTGACGTGCCGGTTTATACTTACTGCCAAAGCTTCACCGTGAAGATAAACTGCTCAGTTTTGAAAGCCCAAATCCAGCCAAAACCTTTTTTTTTTTTTTAAGGTTTAGATCTAATGTATACTGCTGTCTGTGCCCCGGTTGGAGGGGATCTGTTCTCACTTCCTGTTTCTGTGAAAGGATGTCACCAAGACAGGAAGTGATGGGTTAGTTCTCTCATGCGGAGAGACACAGCAACAAAAGCCTATATATGTGAGTGCGGAAGGATTTGATAGAATGTCGGGTTTTGGTTGCTCTTCCTGTCCCATTTACACCCAGCTGCCCATAGACTAGCATTGGACATTTGATTGGGTTCACTTGAAAAACTGACAGGTGGACCCGATCAGACCATGCATGTGAATGGGGGCTTACAACACAGGCAGCGATAAAAAGTCGGCAGAGGTTCTGACTCTTTCCCACGCTGTCATAAAGTTGTGTATTAGCTGAACTGAATCCTAGAGGGAACGTTCTGTATCCCCAACACCATCAGCCAACAGGAAGGGGAGAAGACTGACAGGGCAAATTCGAGGGGGCAAATCATCATCACATTGGGGCTCAATACAGAAAGTATAACCCGAAAAGCAAGTGTCCAAATCACCCTCCATTTAAAGGAAACCTATACAGAAAGAGAATCAGAAGCCGTCTTCGCTGGACTCCTTCTAAAACCACTAGTGGCTTGGATGTCTACGGCCTCAATAGTTTTAGACATTGATCTGGAACAAGCATGCAGATCAGTAAAGTCCGAGCTTCAGATGTGCATTCTGGTTCTGAGTCAGTGACTTTAAAAGTACTGCAGCCACTGGATCAGCATGACAACCAGGGATCTGGCATTTCCAGAAGCAAGCAAGAGGCAGCCTCAATGCATCCCAAACGGGTTTCCCTTTAAAATTGTTTTGGTGGCATTTTCATGAAATCCTCTTTCAAAGCATGATACATAAAAGGGGCATTAGTGATCTTTAGTACATCACGAGTCTGTTAGCATTCAGTGTTCTGTAGTATATATGGATTATGTGCAAATGCTCAGTAACTGAGCTGTTCACCCAAAAAAATGTTGGGCAATCAACAGTCAGCATTTTACCAAAAAAAACAAAACAGTGGTTTGGAGTTTGTGAGCACCTGATACCTAGCAAGCAGCTTTATTGAATAAGGCAGTACAACGAGCAGTTCACTAGAGTGGATTCCACCTTGGGCGGTAGAACGCTGAGAGAAGACTGACGGTTGCCCCGGGTTATTGCACATTGTCCATGTAGAATAGTGGCCACTGAAGGGACGTGCAATGCTTCAGCTCAGTTCTAATCTGTCAGAGTAGGGTTGCTGTTCTGTAGTATTTGTTCTTTTAAGGCTGACCCCAACCTCAAAAGTGTAGGTCCACCTCAGAAAACTAGAGCCATTATGCAGGTAGGGGTTGGGGGATCTCAAACTGTAAAAACAGCAGGTCCTACCGTACTCCAGGTCGAGGTTGCATGACTTGAGGTTGTGGTAGCAGTGCACTTAGGCAAGGAGGTCTTCAGAGCCTTTAATTAAAGCGTACCACAATATAAAAGCTGCTGATGGTCACCTGACACAACATGGCGCCATGGAATTTGGTTTCCCTATTGAGAGCCTACCCTGCCTTCCCAATGCCTCCTTATTTTTCTGAAGCCAACCTAGACTTTACATCTGCTTTGAGTAAAACAAATTCATAATTCCCACACAGACAAAGCAACAAAAATGCAGTCTAAAGCAAACATTTAAGGGCTTGCCCCTTGAGATGTGTCCCACTGCACATGTATGGTTTCAACAGGGCACTTAGGAAACAATTGCTTTCTCTGTGCCCTGTTCACACCATACATGTGCAGTGGTGTGCAGAAAAAAAAACACAGCTCAACAGACATGGTGTCTGCAAGCCCAAAAACATAACCCTCAGTAAGTATATGGCCTCACTTGAATTAATCTTTTATGAA